CAGTTGCTCTTCTCACGCTAATGTGCTCTTCGGTTGACTCCTCCGTCATCCGAAGGGCTACTTCCAGTCTTGTAAAAGCCTCGAAGCTGAGTGATCACTTCGCGACCGCACGCTTTTTATTGTTGAGAAACTCCGCAGTGCACGAAAATATAGTGGAAAGGCGTGGTTTCATACACATTTTTGTGAGTACTGTGCTGAAAACTGCTTGTGTAATGTGTGAAGTTTACCAGTCGACAAATTCCTGCAATAATTTTTGCCACTCGTCAATCGATATATCGATCAACTTCAGGCAAATGCTGCCGATTTCATCAAAAAACTTCCTGATGGTTACGGTACTCGCGTAGGCGAACGAGGTGTGCAACTAAGTGGCGGACAAAAACAACGAATTGGTAGGTAGACGTAATTGTTCGGAAGACACCCCTACGGTTTTCGATTCCGATAATCTTATTTGGAGCTGTCAGATCTTTCCAACGGTGCTATCGCCCTTTCAGGTCTTCTGAATACTCTCAATTCACATAGCTTGTTTTTTGATCCATCGCATTAACACTTAGGCTGCGTTTATACTTTGCGGCAGCGTAGCGTAGCGCTTCCAGCGTACGCCAGCGGCAGTGTCGGGGAAAGGATAGATATCGATCTAGCGTTCCCAGCGTACGCTAGCGTAGCGAGGGCACGGGAAGCATAGCTATCGATCTAGCGCTCCCAGCGTTTCACTAGCGTTTCGCTAGCGTTGCAGCGGCGGGGCTAGAGAGTATAGAAGAGTAGGAGAGTACAAAATACTCTCCTACTCTTCGATACTCTCTAGCGTAGGAGCATCTTATACCTCTTCTAACGGCAGGAAGAGCATTTTCTACTCTCTAGCCTCGCCGCTGCAAACGTTAGCGAAACACTGGAAGCGCTACGCTACGCTTCCGCAAAGTATAAACACAGCCTTACGCTTTGTAACGGGTATTGATTTATGGACACATTCCACCGTAGCCGGAGAGGCGGGGTGGTGGGCGGGGACTCACCACTTTTGTGCTTTCCTCATTGGTGCGTTCTAGAAGATTGAGCAGGACAATGTGAAAGACACTTTGATCGCGGGTCTCCATCCATTTCTCTGACCATCATTTCATCGTGGAATGCTGCTTTTCTAGTAGTGTAAAAGCGCAAAAAATACTGAAACATAGCAAAAAGCCTTTTAATGAGCCAATTGACCCTTCTTTCCAGCCATTGCACGTGCAATCATCAAAAACCCTAAGATTCTTCTGCTCGACGAGGCTACCAGTGCGCTGGATACCGAGGCGGAGGCGATCGTACAAGAAGCTTTGGAGAAGGTGTGTTCATCGATTTGATAACGCTTTTCCTCACGTCAGGACCTTATTTAAGCCTGCGCTGCCCAGGTTCCTTATTGGCACAGCCCTCTGTAAAATTCAGCATTTTCAGGCTCAAAAAGGCCGAACGACCGTTATCGTTGCGCATCGCTTGTCTACCATTAGAAATGTGGATCAGATTTTTGTTTTCAAAGTGAGTAACCAGTTATGCATGAGGATTCACACTAGATGCGCCATCTACTGCTGAGTGGGGACCGTTGGTATTTTAGTGTGCTTCCCTTCGATGCGGTCAATAGGAGATAACACACGTCACGAATATCAGGGGGGGGGGCAAAAAAAGTCATTCCGGCCGAGTCACATATGAGCGAAGTTTTCGCAGCCCAGACAGAGGAAGTGGATATGAGTACCAGGGCGGAAGATCTTCCTGTCTATATTAAGCAGATCTTGGCATTGCCGCCATTTAACCTTCATGTACGATCAAAATATGAAGTCACTCTCAGTCGCGGCCACTGAAGTGGATGAAACGCCTTTGGGAAATTCACACGGTGGCCTTTTTTTTCTTCTAATATCTAGCTGCCTGATATTTCTTGAATGATTCACTGTTTGCATGGGATAGCTTACTGGATGACCTAGTTACCTTTGTATTCTGCAACTGATCTCTCAAACTCGACATGTGCTCGGTTCTTATACTGTTCGCTACGCTCCAGGACAATCAATCTTCGCCCCATCATTCCATACGGGCGCGGTGTGATGGTGTTGGATTCGGCGGCCGATCCTAGGAATGGAAAAATCGCTCATCTATATTTTCTTCGTGGGCCCCAGACTGAGGGTGTGCGCTGGTGGCTACATCGAGCAACTCGAGGAGAATATCCCATCTTCATGTCGTCGCCCGTACCTTCTTGGAAACTTTGTACTGCTACAGGATTGGGTGACAACACATTTAATCGAAGGGCGTTGGAAAAACTTTCGCCTACTTGGAATGGAAGAACGTTGAGTACCTGGAAAAGATGGAGTATTTAAGCGGGGGTCCTGAACTAAACCCCCTCAATTACTCGGTTCGGGCGGAGCTCAACAGGGTGGTCTACAGTGGCGGGATGCACGATTCGTTCCTCCGTGTACCGGCACTGCCGAATCTCTCGATGGCGCTCCTCCAGAAGGCTGTGGCGGAGTATCATTATAGTATTTAATGTGCTCTTTAATATGGTAGTAAAAATGTCCGATAAAAATTTAATAAAGTGCAAACTTGTAGGCGCCTTGAAGTTGCATGAAGGCAAAATGACTTCCCCCCCCCCGTATGGTCTTCTGACTCCCCACACTTGAATCGATGAGGGTACGCTTCAAAACACCGACAACGTTGGTGTAAACATGATTCCGAAACGCGATGGTGAATGAACGTAGGACGCTAGGGCATTCGATAGAGCAAGAAGCATTTGGGCAAGTGGGTCTTCAATGTTCCTGGGCACTTCATCTTTTTGACTTTTGCTCATGTAATTTATTGTCCATCTGCCGCTCCAGTGTGGTTCAGAAATACAAAAGAGTCAAAGACAATAAGTCAGTTTGCAAAAAGACTATGCCCCTGGTTTTTCAGATGGCCAAAAATTATTGAACAGGGCACGCATGCTGAACTGATGCAGAAACAAGGAGCTTTCTACGATATGACTCAGGCTCAGGTTCTGCGACAGGAGAAGGAAGTAGAAGTCCCAGGTAAGCTCGAATTTCATTTCTGTTTCTCAGCGAAAGACGTTGGTCAAGTGGTTCAGCCAGTTCAAATCAAGAACGGCGTTTCGAGCATTTTGTGAGTTGCGTGGCGGCAACGCACGAACCGGTCAGCAAATGGTTATCATATGCCGCGCCTGATCGCAACGCATCCGCTAGTCCCACTGTTAGGGAGACGGGTCAAGACAATCGTAGTTTCCGCGCGCGGCGCATCGTGCGGCAATGGGGTCGGCGTTTCCTCAGTGGGTATTGCCCCATCTGCTTCCTGAAAACTTGCCCTTTCATCTGGGGCCGTATGCTACACTTCACCTCGAGGGGACATATCCTCCACAAGAAAACCTTCCGCTCTCTGCTCTTATCTCTATCGCATGCCCTTGTCTTCTCGTGCCTTCAGCCTTTGCATCTCCATTCCCCCCAGTCACCCGGAATCTCCCCCAACGGCATGTGTTGGGGGAGAGGGGAAGAGATCGATTATTCTCTGCGCTGTACTATATTCGCTCAGAGCGTGCGCCAGAAGAGTATGGATGCAGAGCGGCGAGAGCCAGAGAGACGAGGGGCATCAGTAGAGATAAGGGCAGGGAGTGGAGGATTACTAGGGGATGTCTCCCCTCGAGGGGAAGCATACGGCCCCTGGTCTTTTGCGAGGGGACGTCGCATGCCACGCCCACTTGTGGAATACGATTGTCTTGTCACATGCCTTCTAACTCCGTAAGTAGTATTCTGATTGACATCATACTCGACTGGACGATTTTTCAATGAAAAAGAATTGAGTTCGATTGGATTGGGAGGGTACTCAGTTCCAGAGAAACTTATGCCTATTTCCACTTTATTCACTCTCTTGGCGCTACTGTTGTTGAGAAAAGCTGTTGCGCTCATTCTAACCATAACTTCACTCATATGCGCCTTGAGATGGTGCCGCTTGGGGATTATGGCCCGGCCGCCTGCGCTTCTCTGAGGTTGATCCTTAGGAGCGGTAGGGTCATTTCGTCGTGCAACCGTTTTAGGACTACAGTAGCGCCTGCTTTCTGTAGAATTTTTCCACAGAATAAGTGGAGCTAGAGCTAGAATGTTTCAGAAAATAAAGCGCCAGTAGAAAGGTGTGAAGAGGCGCCTCTTCGTGTGCCCAAGGTTACTATTTCGATACCTCTTCAAGAACAATCCGAATTCTACAAA